TTTTTTTTTTTTTCTTTGTAGAACTGGGGATTGAACTCAGGCCCTTGCACTTGCTAGGCAAGTGCTTATTCTACTGAGCCATCTCCCTGGCCCTAAAAGTCTTATTTTTCATGATCTTTTGCTAATATAAGATTACAACAAATACTTAAAGAGGCTGGGCATGGTGGTGCACACCTGTAATCCCAGGGGAGGCTGAGGCAAGTGGATTGTCAAATTCAAGGCCAGCCTGAGCTACAAAGTGAGTTCAAGGCTAGCTGAACTTGCACAGCAAAATTGTCTCAAAAAGACAAAAAAGGGGGAAGCTTAAAGAGCTGATTGATCAGTGATATTAATGTTTTTATGTTTTGTCTTTTATATTATATCCAACATCTATTTTCAGAAATTAATTTATATTTCAACTGTTAAAAGTACATAATATTAAAAACTGCTTTTGTACTCTTTTCTTTATTAACTGTGTCCTTTACAACATTACTATAAAAGGTTGTCTTATTATTTTTTTAATTTTTAAAAAATCTTTTATTTATTTATTTGGTGCAGGGTCTCACTATGCAGCTTGGACTTGTAGTGATCCTGTCTTAGCCTCCCCAGGGCTGGGATTATAGGTGTACCTCATCATGCCCAGAAGGGGGGGGGGGCACAGCATAGCATGTGGTACCAGGGATCCAACTTGGGTCCTTGCACTCCTCAGGCAGGCACTTAAATGCTGAGCTATCTCTCCAGCCCTGACCAATTATTCACCTCAGCCCTATATGTGCTGTTGCTTTTTATTCTAGCTTATTATAACAACTAGATCATTTAATATGTTTATAAATTTATAGCTCTTGCTATAAACATTTTTTGAATATTTTCTGGTATAAATTATTCTTAAATTTAATATACATCTTTTAAAAGCTCTAATATTCTATGTTTCATAATTGTGTATATTTTTGTAATTCTAATTTTTCATTGTGACAAAATTGTCAGTACAATAAATACTTAAGTCAATAGTGGTTAATAGTTTATTTTTGTATTTTAGTAAGGGTCTACAGGGTCTTACTATATAGATCAGACTCATAGTGGTCCATCTGTGTTCAGCCTCCCAAGAGCTGGGATTACAGGCGTGCGCCATGACACCCAGTCTCAATGCCGTCTCAGCATGCCTTGAGGGCAGGGCTGGCAAGGCATGCCAGGGATCAAACCTGGCCCCTGTGCTCCACCTATGCAGGCGCTTTAGTCTGCTGAGCTATTTGGCCGGCCCAATAGTTTCTTTAAAAGCAGACAAATAATTAGTGATAAGTAACAAAGGCCTGGAATTAGTAAATTAAGTTTCTAATACATTGTTTATAGACATACTTGTTGTCACAAAAATTTCTTTTTTATGTCCTTGGTAAAAATGAATCTTGTTATCAAATAATGTTAACCACACACTAATTATTTCATTTCAAGTAAAGAGAGATTCATGTTTTGGGGGCTTATTTTAATTCTTTATAATTCATATGTTCTAAAAAAGCTTTTTGTTTGTTTGTTGGTTGGTTTTAGTATTCCCTTGTGTACCAGAGCGTCCTGGAATGCCTTGTCCAGGGGAGGATAGTAAGTATTTATGTACTTTTACCTTTGAAAAGAGTTACCAGGCAAAGGTGATGCTTGCTTACAGTCCCAGTAGCTCTTAACTTCTGAGAAACTGAGGCAAGAATAGCAAAGGCCAGTTAGTACAATTTAGTAGACTCTGTCTCAAAATAAATATGGGCAGACAGCATAGCTCAGTGCTCCCAGTGTTCCCTGGGCCCAATCTTCAGTACTCTGTTTAAAAAAAAGAATGTGCAATGACAAGTAAAAAAAAAACTATGAAACTTTTAAATTTGTTTTCTTTTTCAGTCTAATTTCTTTTTAGGCTTGTTTGTTTGTTTGTTTTGAGACAGGGTCTTATTATGCAGACTGGTCTTGAATTCACTATGTAACCCAGGCTGACTTCAAACTTGTGATGATCCTTCTGCCTTAGCCTTCTAAGTGCTGGAATTACAGGCATACACCACCCTGCCCAGACTGTTTCTTCTGTTTTTTGTTTGTTTGTTTGTTTGTTTGTTTTTTGAGACAAGGTCTCATTATGTAGTCTAGGCTGGTCTTGAACTCACTATGTATCCCAGGCTGGCCTCAAACTGGAAGGGGTCTCCCTGCCTAAGCCTCCAGAGTACTGGGATTATGGGCATGTACCACCACTCCCAGCTCCACGCTAATTTCAGATATATTAGTAACTGTTTATACTTTTGCATATGCCATACCATCTGTGACACCAGGGCATGCTGAGATGGAGATTGAGATTGGGTGTGGTGGCATGCTAATCTCAGGGTTTAGGAGGCTGAAAACAGGAAGATCACTATGAGTCAGACCTATGTAGTGAGACCCTGTAGACCCTATACTCACCCTATACTAAATATAGATAAATAAACTATATTTTTGCTAGATGAAATTCAGATAGTTTCAATTTACATAACAAAAATCAGTTTTATATATAAAAGAAAAATTTATTTTAATCATGTGGTTTTGATTTTGGAAATTTTTTAAAAAAATTTTTTATTAAGCTGTAATTTTCTTTTTTTTTTTTTGTAATTTTCATATAGTAAATACATCAGGTCTTAACATGCAGTGGGATGAGTTTTGACAAATTACATATGTAACCTATACCCACAATCAACATAGAGAACACTTTCATTATTAAAAAAATTTTTCTCTTACCTCTTCCCTACTGGAGGAAACCACTGTTCTGGTATCATCAGTGTGGGTTAGTTTTGCCTGTTCTAGAATTTTTTATTAATAGAATCATGTTCTTGTATCACGATTGAGTATCACCACTCAAAGTGGTGGTTTCAGTTTTTTTTTTTTTTTCCCTTACATTTTTTTCCCATAATTTTATTGATAAACAAATAGCAATGAGACAGTTTCAAATCAAATTGGTAGGACAGTTTCAATAATTAACACATTGCTTACATTCCTCCCAGTGGTTAATTGCTGTACAAGATGCAGATATGATATCCTATCTACAAACACCATTCGAACAAATCACTCTATTCATTAAGAGAATGTAACTATACATCTATCCTAACCACTTTGAATACACAAATACAAAATGGACATTCATCTGTATACCCTTTTTTTCTTAAGTTCTGTTCTTTGAATATTATAGGTGTGTTAACTCTGCAAAATAATCTAAAAGAGTTCAGTAGTCCATAATAGTATTAGGTCTTCCGCTTCACTGGCAATGTCAGAAACTGTTGACCTGAGTCCCCTACAATTCAACATAACAGCATGGCTTTACTTCTTACATTTTGTTTTTATACTTTTCTGCTGGATGGTTAAGACCAAGGTTAAAGCAGGACCTATGCAACAAGAGTTGTAGCTTTTGGGTCTGATAAGGTCAGTGAAATCCCCTCAGGATTTATCCTGAGATCCTGTACCTCAGATTGTTTGTCAATGTCAACCATGTGGATGAGTCACGGCCATTGCTTGGCCAATGTGCTCTCTGTGAAAGCCTGAGAGAATGTTTTCTCTCCATGTGACTCTCCTTAGGCACACTCTACATCATCGATCACTTTCCTCTTTGGCTCCATAATCTCCTTGATCAGAATATTTGGGACACTGCCGAATAACATGACATTACAGTACAAGTTCTCATATGTCCTGAGTCTTAATTGACCTTGGAAGGTTTGGGCCAAAATGTTGGCTTTCCTTGCAGCCCTCCTTTTCATCTAATTTTGGTCTGCAAACTTAGGTTATTAACCATCCAGAAGACAAGCTTGATTCTGGAAATTTTTAACTATGGAAGAGATGAGACAACATTAAAAGCAAGAATATTCATATATCCTTTCCCCAGACTTACCTGTTGCTAATATTTTCCCTACTCTATATGCACATGTATGCATGTAGTATATACATAACAGAGTTGTGTTTTTTCTTTTTTTTCTGGTTATAACACTTGACAGTAAGTATTAGAATATCCTTAATCTCTGAGAGTGAATACTTTGGTTGTTAGGGTATTTAAGTTTCATGATGTCTGCATTTTACTTTCAAATGATTGTAGAAAAAAATGTACCAAGAAAATATGGCAAAACATTAATATTTGGTAAAGCTGGGTAGACAGATGTTTATTCTTCTAACTTTTTGGTAGGCTTAAATTTATTTCTAATTAAAAAGTGGAAAATTATTTAAAAAGAAGAGCAGTACTAGTTATACAGACGTCCATACTGTAGTCTTTATCTATTCCCTTGAAGAATTTGTCTTGTTTTTATTTTGGGTTTTTAATCAGTATTTTTTCTTGCAATGATTATTATGAAAAGAATCAGACTTAATTATAAAGTGACTTTTACTCATACTTGCTCTTTTTCTTTTAATTTTTAATCTCTTCAGAATCTATCTACCGCAGAGGTGCACGCCGCTGGAGAAAGCTTTATTGTGCAAATGGCCATACTTTTCAAGCCAAACGCTTCAACAGGGTAAACTTTGTTGAATGATGATAATGTATCTTTTTTGTCTGTTTTTTGTTCTCTATTAGGAGAAAAAGGTAGCTTTGTTATTAAGTCTCGTTATACCCTTTTAAAGAAGTAAATAGCAAAGCCTTACATTCCTGGTTTTCATATAACAGCATACTTATTTTGTATTTTTGTTTTGTTTTTTTAGAGGCTGGGATCCAGTGTAGGGCTTTGCACATGCTAGGCAAGTACTCTACCACTTAGCTATATGCTCAGCAACTTTTATTCTTAAATAAGCACCAGATTGGATCATTAATCATATGGTTACCTAGCTATAAGATAATTTAGTTTTTAGCTGGGCACGAGGTGACACACATCTTTAGTCCCAGCACTTAGGACACAGTCATGAAGATGAAGAGCATGAGTTTGAGGCCAGCCTGAGCTACACAGTGAGCTTAAGGCTAGCTGAATTATACCATAAGACCCTCTCTTGAAACACAAAACAGAAAACCAAACCTTAGTTCAGCAGCATAGCACCTGTCTGGCAAGCCCCAGGTTGTGAGTTTGATTCCCAATAAATTAAAAAAAAAAAAGATTTAAATATAATTTCAGGCAGCCAGAAAATTAAACAAGGTTTACATTGCAAAACTAATTTGATATTATTTGTTTTTTCCTGTTTAGAAAATAATAATAGCAAACATTTGTCTAGAATTTTATATATCAGGCAGTTTTCCAAATGCTTGCATATATTGACTCATTTAAGCTTCACAATAGTCCTATATATCTCCATTTTATAACTGAGAAAAATGAAGGCCAAATCAGTTAAGTAGCTCGCCCAAGATACACAACCAGTGAGTAGCAGAGCTCAAGTTTGAAAGGAGCCAATCTGTCTCCAGGGGTCCATGCTTTTAACTTATTTTGATGACTACAAATTTATGGACTTTACTTCCATTCTAAAACTGATGTAAGAGGGATGGCGAGATACTGAGTGGACTAAGCACTGCTTAGGCAAGTGCAGGGGCTGGGGTTCGATCCCTGGCACCATGTGCCGTGCTGGCCCTGACTCCAGGTATGCTGAGCTGGTGACCGAGTCTGGGCATGGTGCCACATGCCTGCAATCCCAGCACTAGAGAGACTGAAAACAGGAGGATAACAGCTATTGAGCTGTGTAGTGAGACCCTGCACACACACACACACACACACACATACACAAATTTAAAACTGATGTACGGCTTAGCCAGGAGGATTGCCACAAATTCAAGGCCAGCTTGAACTACATAGTGAGACCCTGTCTCACAAAAAAAGAAAGAAGGAAGGAAGGAAGGAAGGAAGGAAGGAAGGAAGGAAGGAAGGAAGGAAGGAAAGCCAGCCAGCCAGCCTAATGTCTTGTCCTAAATTCATTAATAGAGAAATAAATAAAATGAAAACAAAATGTGAGACCCTTATTAGGACTAAAATTTAAAGAAGACTGAAAACTGAAAGTCACTTTAGTAAATCTTTTTTTTTTTTTTTTTTGGTGGAACCAGGGATTGAACTCAGGCCCTTGCGCTTGCCAGGGAAGTGCTTATTCCACTGAGCCATCTCCCTGGCCCCTGAAAGTCACTTTAGATATTGCTCTTTCAAAAGGCAGTGTTCCCAACTTCCTTATTTCCATTCATTCATTTACTCACATTTAGAGCCATTTACAAAGATTTCGAAAGATTTACAGTAATGAATGAATTCCTATATAAAGATTATTTTTATACTTTTTGCAGCAAAAGGAAATTGTAATATTTGTACAGTATCCAATTGAATAAAGACCATGCCTAAGGCTAAAAAAAGGGCAGTGTTTCGGTTTACCATTTAAACAGTATGAAAGGCTGTTTTCCACATCTTTTCTGTACTCATACCTATGAATTTGGTTATGTAAAAATGGAGGTTTCTTGGACTTAGTAACAGAAAGCAACATAATTATAAATGTTACTGTGCCTTTAAACAAGTTTGTTTTTGGTTTTGTTTTTTTCCACTGACCTTCACAGCTTTTGAAAATTTACCTATAAGAAGTTTGGGAATTTTTTCCTCCATGGGCTGGAAGTTGACAATAGGATGCAGGGAACTGAAATAGAGATGAAAGCCAGTTACTTTTAGTATTTTATGAGCAAACTGTTGGGAAATGATTGTAATTTTTTTTTTTAATAAAATACTCTTGAATTACATTTTTCAGCGTGCTCATTGTGCCATCTGCACAGACCGAATATGGGGACTTGGACGCCAGGGATATAAGTGTATCAACTGCAAACTCTTGGTTCATAAGAAATGCCACAAACTTGTCACAATTGAATGTGGGCGACATTCTTTGCCACCGGTAAGACAGGGGTTTTTGTGTTTATTTGTTTTTAGTATAGCATGCTTTTCTTTTAAATCTACCATACTAAAGCAGTTAAAATAGGCAGATAATAAGAAACTACATCTCAAAATACAGTTAACGAGTGTAGATAGGAATACTTTACATGCTGCTTAACATATTGTGAACTTTAGAACTTTTGAAGTAGCTTTAGAACTTTTGATATTTTTTTGTAGGATAGTTAGCATCTTTGTTTGATCTGATATAAAAAGTTGTGGTTTAAATTATGAAGATGTAGGGAGAATCATTTAAGGTTTTTTCCCCTTCTTTAAGCTAAACTCAATCATGAATTTATCACTGCTATTATTCTAATATCTATCTTAAGCTGCTAAGAAGAATCAGAATTGTCATGTTTAGTATTTGAAGTGTGTTTACTAGGCAGAAAAGCATTTTAAATTTTGATTTGCGTTTTCTATTTTAAGTATGTAATTAAAGCATGCTAAAGAGACTATAGATGAACAAAGAAAAAAATTAGATAAAAATCTGTACAGATTGTAGCATGTAAACATAGTGTTATTTGCTATATATTCTTACAGAACTTTCCCTATACAAATTTATATGTATGAACACTTTTAATTTTTGTATATGAAAAAAACATATGATACTAGAACTGTAAAATGAACTGAGTGTTCCAACAGTTACCCTCTTCCAATACTTAAAAGTCATGATCAGTCTGTTCCCCAACCGACTAATCTCCCCTCACTCAGTACTACATTTTTTTTATTTGGCAGAACTGGGTATTGAACTCAGACCCTTGCACTTGCCAGGCAAGTGCTTATTCTACTGAGCCATCTCTCTGACCCCCTACTATTTTGAAATATACTGTGGCCTGTACCTGTAAAAGTTAGGGGCCCTTATAAAATACAACTTCAGGGCAGGGAGATATAAGAATAAGCACTTACCTGGCAAGTGCTGGTTCCTGAGTTCAATCCCCAGGACTGTTAAAAAAAAAAAAAAAACTTTAAAAATAAATTCACTACATCAAATATCTTTCTAGGTAGTATTCAAAATTTTACTTGTCCAACAAATGTTATAATTTTTATGATGAATCAGCATTCAAATTTCAATTGATTGATCGCTTAGATGTGCTTACATTTACTGTTTCCTTTTTTCTCTGTTACCTTCTCCATCCCTTATAATTTCTTTGCAGAAAATGTTTATCCCACCAGAAAGTACGTATTTGTGTTTTTCTTTTATGTACTTTTTCACAAAATGAGGGCCAGTGCATCCTGCTGTTTTGTTTTTTTTTGAGATGTATATTTTAAATTTAATCTGATTTAAATTAATTAACATGTAGGTTTAAGTAGTTAAATGTTTAGTAGCTATCTTGTTTGGCATCTCAGTTTTATTTATTTATTAATTTTAATTTTAATTTATTTTTTATTTTTTTACATAACTTTTATTTATTTTTTAAAAATTTTTTTCCATAATTTTATTGAGAAACAAATAGCAGCGAGACAATTTCAAACCAAATTGGTAGGACAGTTTCAATAATTAACACATTGCATACATTCTTCCTAGTGGTTAATTGCTGTACAAGATGCGGACTTGATATCCTATTTACAAACACCATTAGAACAAATCCCTCTATTCATTAAGAGAATGTAACTATGTATCTATCCTAACTACTTTGAATACACAGATACAAAGTGGACATTCATCTGTATCCCCTTTTTTTGTTAAGTTCCATCATTTAAATATTATAGGTGTGTAAACTCAGCAAAATATTCTAAAAGAGTTCAGTAGTCCATAATAGTATTGGGTCTTCCGCTTCAATGGCATTGTTAGAAATTGTTGACCTGAGTCCCCTGCAGCTCAACATAACACCATGGCTTTACTTCTTATACTTCGTTTTTATACTTTTCTGCTGGAAGACCTGCATCCTGCTTTCTAACCCATTTCTTCTGTAAGACAGTATAATTGGTCTTTATATTTATCTGTATGTCTCATCATCATTTTTAACATAATAGTGTGTTATGTCTTTACCAAAATTTCCTGTTTCTTGCAATTGACGTTTAAGGAATCTTCTAAGTTTTTCTGCAAAGAAAATTGAAATGAACTTCATGGTAACAAAATCTTATTTCCTTAGGGGTCCAGAGATGGAGTTACTAGGTTAAAGAATCTGTGTTTTTAAAAATAGCAAATGTTGGGCCAGGGAGATGGCTCAGTGTTATAAGCGCTTCCCTGGCAAGCGCAAGGGCCTGAGTTCAATTCCTGATTCTAAAAAAAAAAAATAGCAAATGCAGCTTTCTAAGACTTTTTGGACATTTGTAAAAGTAGGTTATAGTTGTTACCAAAATTGACTCTTTGCTATTAGAATTATTTAGCTAGTTCATAGCTTTAGTAAAAGACAAAAGGTTTCAGTCTTAAGGAAAACCAGGAAGTTAAGAATTACAAATTTAGATTACTTATTGACACACTGGAATATTCTTATGTGATACAGTGAGTTGTGCATTCATACGTGTACAAAGAAAAAGGAGCAGATAGCGATTCTGTTGATATGTTAGAATGAGGGTAGATTGCATTTAAAAATCCACAAGCTTATTTATGAGCCTACCATTAAGGCAGCCTTAATGGTACCTATGTATAATGCTAAGTTTATTTCTTTTTGCTGCTATTCATCAAACTTGGGTTAAGTTTAATGAATTACTAACAAGAATAGGGTCTTTTTTTGTTTGCAGGGCTAGGGATCAAACCCAGGTCTTGTGCATGATAGACAAGTACTCTATTACTCCACCATATTCCCAGCTTCAACAATTTTGCTTTGAATTAGCATTGTTGCTGAGGTCATTTGTGGATAGTTGGTTGCATCAGTGTCTAAGAAGAATTTCTTTATCATTTTGGGCCATTGACATCTTTGAAAATAATTTGTTTTAAATGGGAAACCTATAAATATTGTACACAATTTTAAGGGATTTATAAATATCCTGAAGTATATCTCTGTGCTTCAGCAAAGAACTCATATCCTAGAGTCTTTAAAAATCATTGAAATAGTGGTTGGGGATTTATAGAGTTTGTGATTTAAGTAGAATCTACTAAGTTGTTATACCTTTGGAAATGTTATAGGAACCCTTGATGCAAGTGGATCAGTCATCCATGCATTCAGACCATGCACAGACAGGTAAGGATGAGGCTGGCATAAACCATTTTTCTTTATGAAGTAGCATTTAAATATTTCTTTTACCTAAGTTGAAAAATATTAACATTCTCCCTATTAAAAATAGGACAGCATATTTTATGGTAGTAAGATTAGCCATAATATTTAACCAACACATTTGGCATTTTAAAAAGATGGCTATGTAAATTATAAAAACAAAAAAACTTTTACTTAAAACAAATTTCTTTTGAGGCTCTTGAAGTAGAGCAGAAAACCTAGTTTCTTTTCCACATTGAAAAAAAAAACAGATTTTATGGCTGTCTTGTGTTCAAGTGACTTGTTTTTATTCAAAGCCTTATTATCAAGTAGATATTATGTAAAAGATACAGAGATACAGCACAGAAATTCCCCCCAAAATGTGATATGCATTAAAATCTTAAATCAGAACAATACCTTAAGCATGTATCAGGAAAATTTGGAGAACATTTATAAAGGATAGAGTAGCCTGATATTCTGAGCTGAATCAAGAAAGGGAAAACAAGAATTTTTCTAGAAGGACAAAATGCAGTCTTGGTAATGGAAGAAGCTTCAAAATCCTGAGGCTAAGGAATACAGTCCCTTTTTACCCTAACAGGCTTTAAGGAATAGAAGCCTCTTGCATATCGGTTCTTTACTTGACCTGAGTGGTATTCAGAAACATTTGAGTATAAAAGACAAGTGAAAACTGTATGCTTTCTATCTCTCTGTCTTAAGTAGGATTTAAAAAAGCAACTTTATGGAGGGATATATTTGATTAATTTTTAAAGAAGTGAAATGTTTTTAAATATAGACAAGGTACTTATTAAAAGCAGTACATAGGGGCTGGGGAGATGGCTCAGTAGAATAAGTGCTTCCCTGGCAAGCACAAGGACCTGAGTTCAATCCCTGGTTTCACAAAGAAAAAAAAAAAAAAAAAAGCAGTACATGGCTACCAGGTTAGTACTTGTTCTCTGTATCCTTACTAAGCAGTAGGAGTTGATGCTTAAGGTTATGTATAGTTCGTATTTAGTAGGACAAGTACAGTGATCAACTTTATATAACGAAAACATATTTAGAAGTAAAAGTTTAAAAAATGTTTTATGTCGGATTCGTTAATGAATGCTATGTTTTTCTTCTTTGATGTTTGGCACTGGATTTTTAGTAATTCCTTATAATCCTTCAAGTCATGAAAGTTTGGACCAAGTTGGTGAAGAAAAGGAGGTATGTGTCTTACATTATCATATGTGGTTAGATGTCCTTTTTTTCACGTGGTTGGGGTGCTGGGGATTGAACACAGGCCCTGGCACATTCTAGCCATATGCTCTGTCACTGAGTTATATACTCAGCGCCTGTGATCAGCTTTTCAGTAGGCTGCAACAGTTTGGAAGTATTAACTTGCTTAGATTTTTAGATCATAATGGTAATAAAGGAATGATTTTTAATGATTCGAGTTTTATTCTGTTTTAGTTTAGTTTACTAATCTAAATTAAGAAATGATTTTGTAGCAAAACTTATTTAAGATGGCATAATATAAAAATTATAGTGTATTAAGAATGGCATTTAGAATATTTGATTAATGTTTAAAACATAGACCCTCTTATGTTGTGTTCTAATTTTATATTTTAAGTAAAATGATAAAATGTCTTTAACTGCCACTTTTTGTTCTATTAAGCATTTTGTCTTTAAAGCAAAGCAGATTTGTTGTTAAAAATTTTTACTTGGGCATGATGATACATACGTGTGACCATAGCTACTTGGAAAGTTGAGCCAGGACGATCAAGAGTTTGGAGCAAAAACAAAAAAAGTTTGAGTAACTTAGTGTGATCATGTCTCAGAAAGCACAAAGGCCAGGCATGGGGGCTCATACCTATAATCCCAGCACACAGGAGGTTGAGGCATTTGTGAGTTTGAGGCCAGTGTGGCTACAAAGTGAGTTCAAGGCCAGCCTGAGCTGCATAGTGAGACCCTGTCTCAAAAAGATTAAAAAAAAAATCACAAAGGGAGGAAAAAAGTAGGAAAGTTCATGCCTTAATTTTACTTTTAGTTTGTCTTCTTAGAGACACTTTTTGTAGCCATTTTCACTTGTATCAATAATACGTTTTTCAGTTTTTCAAGTTTATATATTTCTAGCCTTGAAAGATTAGTTTATACTCCTTTGCCCTTTTTCTCTTTCCAGTGTTTGATAGATATACAGGTGGTGATCAGAATAAGATAGTGTGTATGCTTTTTAAAATTTTATTGCAGTAAAAGCATTGCCATTAATCCTTCTCAGTATACTCCCACTCACTTTGAACATGCCTAATCCCATCATTCCAGCCACTTTCTGAAACAGTTTCTGAGGTCCTCTTTTGTGAATGTTTGTGAGGTATAATAAAGAACAGTGACTGCTGCTGCTAGGACCATCCAGTGGAAAGACAGACTTGTAAAAACATTACGGTGTGCTTTCATTCATCTTATTCACTAGATCTGTGCAGCTTCTGACTCTTCCTCAAAGTCAAAATGACCAGGAACAGTAAAGGCTTGAATTGATTCAGGCCATTAAGCCAGCTATGGCAGTGGGTCTTAGTTATTTTCTCATTGCTGAGACAAGTACCCAACATTCCAAAGTCAAAGAGAGGAAAGTTTATTTAGCTCACAGTTTGTAAAGATTTCAGCCCATAGTTGCCTGACTCCAAGCAGGGTGGCAGTTGGCAAAGGGCAGCAGCTCATGGCAGTAGAAGACAGCAAAAGCCACAAGAGCGGGAAAGAAAACTATTTCTGCCCCAATACTGTATGCAGACTACTCATCCTAGGGTGGGTGTAGCGCTCACACCCTTAATCCTAGCCAGAATTATGTCAGACCAATCAGTGGACTGACTTACTAATCACCCACCTTAATCTTAGTATCAGACACTCTAGATTCAGCCACTTCTGACAAGGCCCCATGACTGTATGAGGCTTTTGGGGGACACAAAGTGTAACATAGTACAACTACATGCACTCATGAAATAGGACTTTCAGAACTGCTTCAGAGAGAGGCAGACATAATGTAGTAAATGTGCTTAAGGAGTAGTACTTTGAGGGGTGAACTAATTAACATGGCAGAGGAAATTTCAAGGCAGCCAAACATTCAGGCTGTGTCTTAGACTGCTCGAGACTTTTAGCCAGCTCTACACTGTGAATCAAGAGCAAATAGACCAGCAGAATGTTTTTAAAAGTTTTGAGTTTGAAGAGAAAGGAAGCACCTGTAAGTTGGGGCCTACAGAGATGGAGCAAAGAACTTGGCTGCTAAAAAGAATAGCATTACACTTAACATTAAACTCTTCTTTTAACTCTTTCTTTTTCTGATATAATTCAGTTATGGATCTTTGGCGCCTCTGAATCAGTTATAAAAAAATAAGTTATCACTGTACCGTGCTATAGGAGACTGGGCTGAACCTGTACAATGACAAACCCTGGAAGTTGCTTTTAAAAAAATAATAATAATAAATTTCTAAAATCAAAAAAAAAAAAGAATAGCGTTGAAAAGAAGCCAAATACTGTTTTGAAATAGGACAGTAGTAAAAATGCCTTTAGGGAATCAGAGGAACTGGCAAGGCTCTACCCTTTGCAGGCCCAAAATTGCAAGGGTGACTTTATTTTGAGAAGAGAGCCTCAGGGCACAAAGGCCACTTAGGGAATTTGTTCCTTGGGATTTGGGTCATGGTACACAGCTATGCAGGCTTTCAAAGATCCTGACAGTCAAGAGAGAAAGAAACTTGGCCATTGCTCCAGCTGGCAACAGACCTTGGCATCACCTAGTGCCTGCTTTATGTGCATGTAAAATGCAAGAGTTGTGGTGTCAGAGAGGCTTCCATCCAGATTGCAGAAGAAGGCCTGGGAGGCCAGGCAGTGTTTGCCGGAGAGAGCAGAGCTAAGAGAGTGAAGCAGGAAGTTCAGTGGAGACCTCAAAATGTTGGCAAAGTGAGGAACATGGACCACCTGAGAAGAGCTGCAAGAGGCAAGCAAAGCCAGCCCAAGGAAGAAGCCATAAGGGCTGTAACCGCCACCGGCCGTGCTGGAGGGGCAGGGCTGCTCAAGCCCTGTGGAATTGGTCTTTGCACAGATTGCCCCAGGTGCTAGCCATGGAACTATAGGAATTAATCTTTGCCCTGTTGGATTTCAGTCTTGTTTTGGTCCCATTCCTTTCTTTTCTTCTTTTTGCTTTTGTTTGTTTACTTTTTAAAGACATGTTTTCCTGTGTAGTTCAGGCTGGCCTTGAATTGATTTTGTAACCCAGGCTAGCCTCAAACTCTCAGTGTTCCTCCTCCCTCAGCCTCCTGAGTGCTGGGATTACAGGCGTGGGCGACAATACCTCCTGGTCCCACTCCTTTTTTTCGCCTTGTTTCTACTTCATGGTATGTAATGTTTATCCTGTGCTGTTGTATGTTGAAGTGCTTAACTTTCTTTTCATTTTTTAAAAATTTTAATTTATTTGTGTGTGTGTGTGTTTGTGTGTGTGTGTGTGTGTGTGTCCAGCTCAGCCCCAGGGGGCGGGGCTGGCTGGCATGTGGTGCTGGGGTATTGAATTGCGGTCCCTGGGGTATTGAATTGCGCATTCTGCTTCCAGCATGTTATTCCATGAGCTGTTTGTTTTCAGCCATGCACTTCTGCCATGACTCCTGCCTTAGAACTAGACTGAAACCTCTACAAACTGTGAGCTAAGTTTGTTCTAAGTAGGTGCTTTAGACCACTGAGCCATCTCACCAGCCCCTTTCTTTTCTCCTGAAAGTTGAGTTTGCCTTAACTTTCAGGAGACTTTGGACTTGGACTTTTCAGCAGTGCTGAAATTGTGAGGACTTTGTCAACTCTTTAAGGGATAGACTAAATGCTTTCTGCATAGAGAAGCCCATGAGGCTTTTGGGGGATAGGGGTGAGATTTTTGTTTTGTTTTGTTTTTTCTTTTGAGACAGGGTCTCCCCGTGTAGTTCTGACAAAGCCTTGAACTCATTAGGTAGCGCAGGCTGACGTTAAATTTGTGATTCTCCTTCCTCAGCTTCCTGAGTGTTGGGATTATAGGTATGTGTCACCATTCCTGGCCTTAAGGTTTGGAATTTATGGTTGTATTTAAATGCATCCCCCCACCCCCAGAGCCTTGTGTGCTTGTAAGTGGGGCTTTTGGAAGGTGATTCAATCATGGGGTCGTGATATAGTGGGTTAGTCCACTCATGACTTTGTATAGCTAAATGTGATATTGGAAGATGAAGCCTCATTGGAAGAGGTGAGTCACTGGGGCGTGGCCTGGAAAGGTATATCTCCTTCCGTTGATCGCATTCTGCTTCCAGCATGTTATTCCATGAGCTGTTTGTTTTCAGCCATGCACTTCTGCCATGACTCCTGCCTTAGAACTAGACTGAAACCTCT